ACTTTTCTGAGCTTCGGGAAAATAATTGTAACTATTTTATTTCCGCGGCGACCCAATTATTTTCCATTCTCCCAGCTACAATTAAAATTATTTTAAAATACTTTTACGAAAGTTTTTTGTTTAAAAGCTTGTCGAGCGCGTTTGAGGGGTTCCCATTGTGAATTGAATTTTGACTTGATATTGTGAATTGTCGACAGTGTGACCGCTGAGTAATCAGTAAAATATACCGACAGACACTCGGAAATATACCGAAATATACACTTGCAATTTCAAAATATACTGTAAATAAACCATTAATCTTAAATTTTTTTCGTCGGTTTTCATGTTATTTTTGATATTGCAAGCTAGTCAGGAGTCTCCGCGCTAAAACTATATTTTTATCCGATTTATCAATCAAATCTCCACTAGAGTGGCTAGTGTTCACGACTTCCTCGCTTGGAATGTTTCCAAATGAAGTTTAAATCTAAAAAGGTCAACCAACCAAAACAGCATAAAACGTTACGTGAGTGGGAAACGGATAGCAACGTCGTTTGACAATTTAGTTCTTGTCAACAGGAAGATATTGTAAAGTGTTACGAAACCAAATGTTTAATTTTTCAGGTTTTCATTTTTGAATAAACGGTCAGGGAAATTCACTCGTTAGGGACATTTTGTTTTGTCTGTCGCTCTCCCGTACTCATTTATGCGTTTCAAATATGAGCCAAGAATACCAAATACAAAAGCTACTTATAATATACCATAAATATACTATACCTATCAACTACATATGTTTAGGCAGTGGTATACAGGGTAAGTTTCGTTAAACTTATGTTATAATTGTATCCAATTTGAGGACTCCTTTTTGTTGTATTGTTTACAAAGTAAGTCAAGCAAGTCAAAAAAATGTCAAATATGTGTAGCAACTTCAACACTGTTAACGTATTTTGCGCATTAACAGCACTTTTTGCTGGTGTTTACAGAGTAGTCTATGAACGCTAGGTGGCGCCATGGCTTGCGCGATAAATTTGAATTTTTGTGTGACCGTATATTATTACAATTTTCAGTGAGACTGTCAACGGAAGAAATAAAATTTTAAATGTTAATTTTGAATGTAAATCAAATTACGATTATGAACAAACACTTTCCACATCTTCCAAACAATTCCCAGCCAAACAACATTCCCCCCCCTCCCTCGCTCTGGTCTGTGGAGCATCACACAAAAACTGCAAACATTCATCAAATTTGTGCTGGAACTTTAGGAATATGAAAACCGCGCTATGTGACCCCCGGTGCACCTGGTGCCGCAAAGCGACATAAATTACGCATACGTCGTGTTAGCCGTGGCAAAATATATAAATGTTACCCCACACACCCGCACACACACACAACAGAGCGCGGAAAAGAAGACCAACAAATTGTTGTGCCTTCTGTTGCGGCTGCTATTATTGCCATAACTTTAGACTTTTATGAGCAGCCAGGACTCAAGGGGGGACTCCTGCCCAAACCTGATCATCAACTTGCAACATTTTACACTCGAAAGTTTAATGAGGCGCAAAGTGCAAGTCGCGAAACTGGGTAAAAGCTCCCAGAGGTCTCTCCGTGTCGTCGTTGTACATTAGATCCAATTAATTAATCAATGGCTGGCATAAAGCATAAAAATATATCGTAAAACTTGCACAAATAATACAATAAAAGGCGGAGATTGGAGGGCTGCATGTGTGTTTGGGGTATTTAAAATAATAATCATCATTTGCTACACCTGTCGTCAAGTTTTTATGTTCGCCCGCCACCCAGTGTGGTTCCAAAATTTGCACCTGTAAAACATTTATAATAAAAAGGGCAGAGCGAGGGAGAGCCAAGCCAGCAAGTGTCAAACGGAGACACCTCTAACATCCACCGACTCCACTCCCCGCTCCTGGACCAACACATTTTTCGCATTTAGTTTTGTAATACAAAAAAGAAAGCAAACCGACATTGGGGTTGCCCGAGGGGCAGGTGGGATAAATGCCTGCTAATTGTGAAAGAGAACTTTTCTGCTTATTAGTTGGAATACTTTTATTTTGGCATAATTATGAAAAAATAGAATCCCAGCGTGCGGATGTCCTGGCCGCTAGTTGAGGCTTCCAAATGGAAGTTCTTTGAACAATTAAATTTCAGCCGATAAAAATCAACCAATAAAAACGGACAAAAAAACAGTGCAAAATAGTGATACAATTTCTACGCCAGTCGAGTGCCTCATCAAAATGGTTTTACCAATTTGAAGTGTGTTTAATTGTAAATTAATTATGCCTGCAAGCGCTGCTTTTGCCACAGCGTGTTGCAGAAACCCACGTGCTTGGGTGCTTGCAAGCACATTTTACATAATGAAATTTGTGCATAAAACTTTCGCTTTGGTAAAAGGCAAACATGGCTGGCACAGGGCATACCTTTAAGGAACGAAACTATTGATACCCTGGAATCGTTGTGATTTATTTGGCAGCTCCAAGGCATGGCTAAAATATTATTAAACAAATTTACGCAAAGTTCCACTAAAATGTAAACTTAATTAATCAAAATTCAGAGTCCTCTACGACCAGCATCCCCGTGCTCGTGACAGCTCTGTTGCATGCAACACACATCAAGCAGGAGCAAACAGTGCACAGGGGTCGGGGCGGTGGGCCAGGGGTTTTTGGTCTAGTACTGAGCACCACAAAAGAGTTACAAAATGACCGGCGGGCATTTTGCTTTTTCTTTTTTGTTTTTCTCCTATTTTGCACAAATTCTTTGTGTGCTTTATTTTTTCTGGAGAGTTAATTGGAATAGTTTTGCGCCAAATATAAACAAGCTTCAAGTGCAGATAGTTAGTAGGGAGGCGGTTAGAGGCGGTGGTTAGCAGCAGGGGCGTGGCCGCTGGGGCGTGTTTCGGTTGGCGGAATGTTTGATGTGGAAGCTTTTGGCCTAAGCTTTATAATAGAAATTAATTTCCGCAGAGCCTTGCATTTTTTGTCTCTGAACCCAAAAACTTAACAAAACTTTCTACTCTCTCACACACACACACACACACACACACACACGGTGAGGGGCTTAGGGCCATTAAATTTGATTTAATAACCGCTGGCTGCTGCCTGGGCAGCTCAGCTTGTTACCATAAAAATGTCAGCCATTAAAACGCTCCCAAAAACAAAACAAAACAACAACCAAAATATGCACATAAACGAAAAGCATTTAAAATGAAATGAATCCAACAATCCCACGGGACACGGGACACGGGACACAGGATCGGGTTCGTTTTCGTTTTCGGTTGCGACGCTTGGACCGGGTCTTAAGGTCTTTATTAGCCGTTTCGGGCAGGCCCTGGCATGCTATGCCAAGTTCATAAGTTGTCCATAGAAAATTGACGTTTTCTTGCGTTTAATGCGTTTAATGGCAAGGCTTTGGCAGCTTTGGGTAGTCCATTTTTGGGTCATTTCTATTAGCTTTATAACTTCTTTAGTGTCATATGATAGGGTGGCAGAAGGTGCTAGAAAAAGTGTCTTTAAATTGGGTGTTTCGATGTGATCTTTCTTTATTTATTCCATTATTTGCTGAAGCCTAATGCGGAGCACAATTCTATTTCCAAAAATATTCTTTTCAATTCTTTGCTCTTTTAATTTTCCCACCATAGAAAAACACACGAATTTAATCATTTATTTAATTATTTTTATTGTTTTTGGTTTTTATATTTTCGTTTATATTTCATTTTGTTTATTTGTGTTTTTTTTTCTTCTGTTTTTGTTTTGTTTTCATATTAATTGCTTTCACTTAATTTAATTAGTTTTATTTATTATAAACTAGACGATTATTAACTGTTTCCACTTAAATACACAAATGTCATAATTTGCCTGTCACTTTTGTTGGCGACACTTTTAATTTGGGTTTTATTTGAATATTTTTACAAATTAAATGGAAGATTTTGTCAATGGAAATAATATACACCATGCGTATACGTAATATTTCGTGAATGTGTCTGTTAAACTGAGTGTAAAACACTGGCAGTGTCTGTTAGGTTGTTAAAGTGAAACCAGCAAAATTTGAGCAACAATTGGCTGGCTTTAAGCTATAATTATTGAAATGGTTTGAAGCTTAATTTTTTATGTAATTTCCAATTAATTTGCTTTTGTTTGCTTTGCTTTTGTACACCAAAAAACCCGCCAGTTGTAATGTATTTATGTTTTTTGCCAGAGCTTTAATTCAAATAATTAGCTATTCGTTTTTAATTAATAATTTCTTTTGTTTTTATTTGCATGTAATCTGTTTTGAGCAGTTTCCTTTTTATTTAGTGTGTGTGTTTTGTTTGTTTGCTTTTTATTTTCTATATGTTTTTTACTTGAAGTAAATAATACCACATTTTATTTGAATTTTTACTAGATTATTTACAATGCAGGAAAATAATGCTGCTAGGCTGCTGTTGAACGATACGTTTTTCACCGATGGGTAATGATTTTTTGGCCAAAGGAAACTTGGAAAAAAACCAAGTAAATCTAAGATAAAGTCTGTGCACTCGAATCTAAAATGGTTTTAAAAATGTTTCAAATAATTTGGTTGCCAAACATCACTGATAGAAAGTGTGACCGTATATTTTGACTGCAGTGTACCACCAGCACAGCTGCATCGGTGAAAAAGTGATCGTGTTAGAGCAGCTGCATCAACAAATGTGTTTTTTTTTTATTTTAAATAATGATTTCGTTTGTGCTACACTTAACTAACAGATGGTATTTTATAGCTTGATTATATTCCCATATATTTATAGTGTTTGCATATATGTTTCACAACAGATCTAGCGAGTAACTAACACACAGATTAACTATATTTACAGTTTCCCTTAGGCCCTAACGTTTAGCTACAGTATTTTCTTGATTTCTCTTTTGGGGAGTTTTGTTTTTGTTTTTGTTTTTGTTTTTCCTATGATTTGTTTTAAGTTTCAAGTCTTAGCCTATGACTAAACAGAGATTAGGTGCAGTCTAGTAGTTTTTGTTTTCTTTTGTTTTTTATTCCGTTCGATATTCCGTGGATTTTTCAATCGGAAAAGTTCTTCTCATCGGAGAAGCGCACATGATGCTGCTGCTTGAGACGCGTCCCTCGTCCTCCACCGCCTCCACCGCCTACACCGCCTGCTCCATGCGGCTTAACAATACCGCTTCCATTTGCAGTTCCGTTTCCCCTGCCGCTGCTGGTGGCATTTCCGGTTGGCAGTGTTGGCGACATGGTTGCCGATGTGGTCGTGGATGTGGGCGAGGATGCGTTTGTCCACTGCTCATCGCAGGAACAATAACCCCTGGCCACATCGCCGCCCTCCAAGGCCAAAGCGTGCATCTCCCGCTTGAAACGCAATTTCTTCAGCTGCTGCTGGTGCTGCTGTTGACGTTGCTTTTGGTCAGTGGCTGCAGCTGTTGATGGTACTAGTAGTGCTGGTATCCCATTGAGTTGGCTGTCATCTGGGGCAAGGGCTTGGAGCTGTTCCAGCTGCTGGAGCTGCTGGAGCTGCTGCTGCTGTGGTGCCACCTGCTTCGGTTCATAGAACTCCTCGGGCGTTTCCGCACGCAGGGTTTCTATGGAGCTGCCAAAGAGTGCAAACAAAAGGGAAACATTGTAAATTCACCAATTCATCATGTGTTTTTGCCACCAATTAAAGTTCAGCAAACAAACAAATATATCATGGCAAATATATGTAAATTGTGTGTGTCTTGCATGGTATAATGACGTGGTTAAGCATATGGAAATTATCCGCCATAAATATTCATGAATTGTGCGATATTTGGAGGCGTGGTTGAATATTAATTGCCATTCTCTAATTACAATTGATAAATGGACTGGGGTGGCACGGTTAAATTACGAAAATATTTGCACTGCCAACGGCAACACTTTGTGTTTCCATTAAGATCGGTGGAGTAAATTCTTGAAACTATTTAAGTTAACAAAACTTAAAGAAGCTTGTCCTCTGCTACGCCTGCTGTCCGTTGCATCCATCAAAGTTTATGACTCTGTCCTTTGAGCCAAGTATGCCACCATCCCCATTATCGTACTACGCTCAAGTCGTATGATGCATGATGCCTCGTATCTGTTCTATCGTGGAATTTACTTAGCTCCATTTGGCTGAAGTTTTTGCTGATGCTGATGTTGTTCTTGTTTTTTCCACCTCTGTACAGTGTACACTTCATTGCGCTCTGCTTAGTATTTTCCACTCTTCCACTTTTACCATTTGCCATTCTGGACGTTTTGTGTTTAGTTTAAAATTCAACGGAAAATCGTGCGCAGCAGCAGCAGCTGCATGGTATATTTATTTTGCTGCTGCTGATGGTTCTGCTGTTTCTTCATTTGCTTTTACTTCTTCGTTACGTTCCTTTTTCTTTTTCTACTACTTTTTCTACTACTTGCTGCTCCTCCGCCCACTCTTCTTTTGCTCCCTTCTGCTTCCACCCATAGTCTTTTTTGTTTCTTCTTCCTCCTACGGTCCAAGATCCCAAGATCTTCCTTCTCGCTTCTGCCTTCGCCCACCGCTGTTTGTGTTTTGCCTACCCTGTGGTAGCAGAGAAAACGAGGGTATGTTAGATACTTGGGTCGTTGGTAACTAAGACAGCCCTTGTCCTAATATTTCAATTATATTTTCTGATAGATTAAATTATATATAAGATTAATTTTGGAAACCATTAAAGTTACTCCATAAATAAAACCCAACCATAACTTTAGCATTAGAGCGCATCAAACTAAGAGGTATCTTAGCGCCTTAACTGTATCTTTTTTGTAAAGTTTTTTTTTCTCCAGCGGTTCTCTCTCTCCTGTGCGTGCCCATTTGCTGTGTGCAGTACAGTAAATTCGGGTTGGGCGAGAGAATTTATGCAAAGAAAGCGAAAAGTGCAAAGTAAAGTGCAGTTTGCGAAAAATGCGCGGCTGCCTTTTGTTTTGCCAGGCTCTTTGGTTGGGCAGCAAGGGGGTGGAGGGTTTTGCTGGCTTAACGGTGAGAGTGGTTGCCGGAATAGAGTGAGAAATAAGGGTTAAGGCGACGTAAGAGCAGGACCAGGAGTAGGAGTAGGAGCAGAAGGATGCTGACACAGTTGAGCGCACAATTTGGCGCAGATTGTTGGCTGGGGAGCGTGCAGGCTGTGGCAGTAGAGTGCGCGCAATGTAGGTAGGTGGTCGTCAGTGTGCTTAGACTTGACTTGGAAGAGATACCAAAAACTAGGAGAGAGATACAGAAGCAGTGGCAGCCGTGGCAGCATCAAAATGAGTGAACTGAGTAATGCGCGTAATGCAAATCGCGGTGCTGCAATGTGTGCCCTACAGTTTTTCACAGTTGACTAGCAACAGCACGGAAGGAGGAGGGTGCAGCAGTAGGAGTAGGAGGTATGATAGAGAGAGAGAGAGAGAGAGAGAGAGAGAGAGAGAGAGTGAGAGTAGTGCTAGTGCTTGGGCTAGGGGGACCATCATTAACGTATTACGCGCATGTTTGTGCAGCCACTTTGCATATCTTTCGAGGCAGCGGCTTCTTAGCGGGTTTCTCCCTCGCAAAGGGGACGAAATAATAAACATTAGTCAAGTGTTGCAACATTTTTGCGCTCAGGTTCATAAGCTCATTATCATGCCCCCAGCGACAGGAACTGCGGTTAGTGGCAGTCACTAGACCAACAGGAATGAGCAGGCGTAGTAGACCTTGACAACACAATTTCACTTGACATTAGCACTCCACACATTTTGATTGATATCATTACACAATTTTCATAACTAAATGAAGTAACACCCTGCCCCCCTTCACACAACTGGTAGAGTATCTAATCCCTTATGCACTTTATGCTGCCGCCGCTCTGGGGTTGGTTGCAACTTGAAAACTTTTAGCGCTAATTACACAACACATTTAGCCCACAAGGATGTGGGTGTGTGTGTGTGTGTGTAGGGGTTGGGGATGGGGTTGGGGTTTCCCCTACATAACGCACACTAAATTGCATAAAGTTTTCACCGCATTTCTCTGGAAACTTGCCCCTGTTTGCGAAATATTGTAATTCCCCAAACTAATCACAATCGATGGCAGGCAGCCATAGCAGCCATGCATCACTGGCAGTGGAACAGCAAAGAGGAAAACCGCATTTAATACATAATTTCCTTGGGTAATTTACACTCGATTTATGCATGTGTTGACTCAATTGATTAGTCACACAAGGACAAACAACTAAATTGCAATTATTAATGTTTGCTGCTCCGAAATTAATTGGAAATGCAGGCAACATTTCTCAACTGTTTCAACTGTTTTCGGTGATGCCATTCCTGAATTGGCTTAAGCCTTAAATGATGTTCGTTGATTCATTAAACTTTAACTGCTGTTTGCGTTTGGTTTTGCAATCAAAGAAAAAGCCTGTGTTTTCAGTGGCCAGGCTCTCCTCAGGCAGAACAACTCCCTGGCTGGCCGCCCGCGACTTTTGCTGTTTCTCGCACAAAAGTCTGAAGAACCTTTTGATCATAATTTAAACAACTGCCAAAAATATTCAACAACCGAGCTGGCAAATAAATTGCGAAAATGTACGAATGTTTTGATGCCCTTTCGGTATTCCTATGGCCTCAGTATTTATGATAATTTTGTCCACCTTTGCACATGGCAGGCACCTGTAAGAAGCCGTAATACCCACTGATTAAAAAGGGAATACGAGATATAAAGAGAAACTTAAACAACTGCTGGGACCCCAAAAGGCAGTGGAGTGGCTAAAGGAGCAACATAAGAGAGTCCAGGAGAGAGAGAGAGAGTGGGGGAAAAAAGAATGTAAAATTAATGTTTATTGCGCTTTTAACACATATACACTTCGACACGCCCCCCACGTCGCCCTTTTTCGCAGTTGGCCCGAGAGTGTGGGTGTAAATTTACATAAAAGTTGCCATTTGCCGTTTGCCGTTGAGTTGGCCCCCTTTCACTTTAGCTGGCAAGGAAAATTGCATTTTCCACAAGCGGACCAGCAACGCGTACAGCGTACAGCGTACAGAGCACAGAAATGTTAATCAGCTAAAAGTTAAGGAAGCTGCGGAAAAGGTGGAGAAGGAACACCCACACTGTAGGTTGAAACAAAAAGCAAAAGAAATGCAAATTTAATTGTATGCCACGTGAAATAGTGACCCCTGACCCAACACACACACACACAAACGACACAACGTGGATACATACGAGTTTATATGTAAATGGAAACTGAGCAGCCAGAAGTGCCAGAAAAAGTGGACAGCAGATAAAAATGTTCCTTTTGGGCAAGTGGTGGAGGATTCAAGTGGGTTGATTTGTTTATTCCGGTTGAAGGCTTTTGGGTTCTGAGATTATCTTCCAGAACAATCAGCAGTTGGTTGGAAAATAAATAAAATTAGATTTTCATTTGCCCCATTCTGTGTGTATTTTTTTGTAAGCGTTGCGGTTCTTGGTAGTGTTTTGCTCTGTAGTTCAAGCTTCAAGCTGCCAATACTCCGAGCATCTATTTAACTCCTCCTTCCTCCTTCTACCGATATTAATATTCTTTCCTGCTTTGAATTTGCACTTTAATCTTATAAATTGATTGCTTTCTGCTGCATTTTTCGTGGATTTTATTTGTCGAGCAGAGTTCTGGTTTAGTGTCAATAAAACTCAAGAACATGTTGAGATTTTATGATCCATAATTTACCAAAGAACTGCGCGCAGTATTTTAGTTTGTTTAATTAACGTTTCTCCGTTTTCCTGCTCGTCCCTGTGGGCTGTTCCTCCTGCTTTATGGCTGTTTTTCCAAAAACTCTCCTTAACTGGTAGTTAATCAAATTCTTACTCACGTTTACTTTTTTTTGGGCAGCTTGCAGTTTTAATTTGTGTTTGAGCTCAAATTACGAGTACTCGGTATGAGAAATTAGTTTTTGGGTGGCGGTCTCGGGTTTCAGGTTGCATGCCGCAAATTACCTTGCACCTCACCACCCCAGCCAACCGGTTATGGTCGGGCCTGGTGACTCTCTTTTCTCTATATGTATGTATGTAATTTCGTTTCATATTTTTTCTCATTTTTTTCATGTTTTTCCATGGAGAGCCCATGAGCAGACCCGCTTGTGTGCGCTTTCCTTTCCTTTCCTTTCCTCTTATTTATATTTTATTTATGTTATTTTTATGCTTTATTTGTGAGGAAATTGCAAGAGAGGGAGAACATTTTTTGCAGCTGAATGTTTGACATGCCGTTTGTTATTTTTTGATCAGCGACCCCTGCCTGTGTGTGTCACATATTTTTTGGGATGCTTCTAAAAGGGTTTCCACATGTTTGTCATTTTACACAATTGTCCCCCTCTACTGGTGAGGTACCTTAAATTGGTAGTCGCTTTGAGTTGTGTGTCGTTTTTTTAGGAAAAATTATATACAGAAATAATACCAGAAATGTCTCAGTAATACTCGTACGTGAATCATTTTGTGGTGATGGCAAAGCTCACGTTTGCCCACTACTTAACACAGGCTCTGAAGGAGTTGGATCCTCCCTCGAAATGGGAGGATATTGTGCAGTTTGTCCTAATCACATTGAATTGCACGCGGCGACAGAGGTATTTCACCGAGCAATTGAAAAAAGCCCTCGATGTGGGGCTGCGTTTTGGCATTATACGCGAACTGAATAATAAATATTATCTGTATGAATATACAAAGGTCAGTGCGCGTGGGAAAATTACCTACAAGTTGGGACAGTATCCCCGGAGTTTTGAATGGGAGGAAATGAAAGAGCATAAGGACGAGGACGACGACGAGGACGAGGACGAGGAGGAGCAAAAACAGCAGCAGCCTGAGGTTAAAGGCACAAAAAGGAAGCTGGCCAAGAGCTTAAAAGAAGAGCTCAAATCAGCTAAAAAGCAATGCAGAAACTGAAGTAAAATAGAGTGTCTCGGATGCACCTTTCGATGTTCAAATAAAATTGCAGTTTAATTTATGTAATATCTTAATTCCCATGTTCTTTTCTCCTTCGTCTTCACGTGTACTTACCCCTCTGATGACTATAAGTCCAACTCAAAGACCGATACCTATCAGACGCGCATCTCATCGATGGCCGCCTGTGGCACTTGCTGCTGCTGCTGCTGCTGTCCGCCCATGCCCTGGCCGGGGGAGGAGGTCATGACCATACCCTCGCCACCATGCTGATGCACCAGGTGCACACCCGAATGATTGTGCGTGTGGGTGTGGTGGCCGCCGCCGCCGCCGCCGCCCTTTGAGGAGCTGGGCGCACTGCTTACCCCACTGCTGCTGCTGCCACCGGAGGGCGTTTGATCCAGCAGCACACCGCCACCGGCCACGCCCATGGCAGAGTTATTGCTGCTGCTGTTGGTGGTCGTTGATGAAGCAGTGCGTAGCGGTGGGCGTGGTCCGCGTATATGATGCGACGGCATTCCGGTCAGAACATTTCCATTTGCCTGATGCTTGCCCGATTGTTGTTGCTGTTGCTGCTGCTGCTGCTGCTGCTGTTGATATTGCTGTAGTTCTGCAAGTAAGAGAGTGGGGGGGTAGAAGAGAGAGAGGGAAGAGCGATGTAAGCTACTTATGTACGTTTATACGTTATGCATATGTTGGCATATTATCAAGCAAATGTTTATTGAAAGGCAGCAGCAGCAGCCCCAACAAAAGTCAATTTGTAAACAACAATGTCAACCATTAAACACACATTCTCCTGCTCCTCCTTCTCCTTCTGCTGCTATCATCGGCATTGAGGCATCGAGGCATCGAGGAATTGGCAGCGTTGCCATGCAGAGCGCAGTGGCGCCAGAATGCGAGTCATCAGAGTTGGTTGCACTTTTTGTTCCATTGAATTGGCCATGCTCAAACATACTATGTACATATGTAGGTTCCCCCCAGAACCCAGAACCCAGAACGCAGTTTTTCAGTTAACACTGGCAGCACTGAGAGAAATGCAGTCAGAGATTGTGATTAAGTAAGAGCACTGCGTATAGTCAACAAAAACACTAGCAACATATTGGGTAACAGTAACGGCAGACAATTGCCGTGCAAGATCGTGCATGTCCGCTACACGAAAGACGAAAAGAAGGAGAAAGCAAAACGACCGATGGTCGGCCTGCCTGCGATGGTTTCTACCTGCGCGCTGCAGCGGCAGAGCTGCAAAACTTTCTTGCTCTTTCGTTCTTTCTACAGCAATGCTCGTAGTGTCGTGGAGGGGGAGAGTGCAGGGGAACTGATCGCAGCAACTGATAACCGATTGAGGGATCATTTACGACTGTCTGCTCATTGAGTTCGCTCCTTACTCTGCTCTCGCACACCTCGTTTTCGCTCAGTGCAGCTTCCCCTGCCCCGCTCTTTGTCTATGTTGATTTTTAGCTTTGGATGTCGTTCAACTTGTCGCCTCGCCTCGAGTCTCAATGCAAAAGTGCAAAATGTGCAGAGCCATTGACGCGTCTAATATTTCGATGCTCCACCACCCCACTGTCCCCTTTTCAGCCTTTACGATGTGTGTTTCTGGATAGAACTAATTTGTTTGCCTTTCGCTCTAGCTCTCTATAGACACAATGCAGTTTTATTGGTGTGTTGGCAGAAAAAAAGGAAAGAGCGGCAGAGAGACGGAGAGACGGAGAGAGAGAAATCGAGCAGCAAATGACAGAAATGAAAACATGAGTAGGAGCGTGTGCCGTAATAAAAACTGAAGAACAGAGGAATAAAATCTTAATACTCGATGGGGTTGTATGGTGTGTTTATACCGTACGAGGAAGTTTATTCTGCGAAGGGGTTTAATAACATTTTGGCAGGTGAAAAATAGACTTAAAGGAGTATATTTTCGTAGAGGATTTTCATCCGCAGCTGAGACTCCGGATTTGCCGGAGTAAAGCATAAACTCCAACCCAAAAGTAAATTCGTAAGCGTTTAAGCAGCTTTTTCCTGTGACAAATCTTTATAAAATTAAACGAAAATTTTCATTACTCATTCAAGGATGATGTCCCTGCTGCCGAAACCCCTAAGCCATAATCCCTGCCGCCCAAAAACCGACTTTCACTAATTAGAGGAAATACATTCAAGGAGAGCGAGAGCGAGAGGGCTGGTGGCCTTTCGGTTTTTATGTTTATGGTCTGGACTTTACCCCCGGCGAGGATTTTGTGCGCAAGTCGAGTGGCCAAAACCTGGACTACATCTACAACTATGCCTAAGAGAGCATTCAAAGTGAAATGTACCGGATTATGGTGCTTTCTTTCGGCCTTTTGAGCCAAGTCCCGTCGAGTGGAGGCATCGTCAGAGTTAGAGATCAAAGCAGAGAGACCAACCGTAAGTCGCAGGCTCTGCCATAATTTCAGGAAGAGAGGCAGAGAGAGAGAGAGAGAAAAGTGCGTCATGCAATTTCCCCAAGGAGTTGTGTGCGGGGTTTATGAATATAAAATTAACAAAACAGTGCGTATGCGTAATTCCCCAAAAGCACTGAGGCAGCTGGCCCCTGGCAACGTGTGTGCCCCTTGCTTTGTATGGTATGCAATAAATTTTCAATTTCCATAGTTCCGTGCGAGTCCTGAAAGCAAATCTAATTTATATGCACACATCACTTATACGCACTGTATTGCAATTACAATGCAAATGCTGCAACAAATGCGTATAATGCGCCATCGAAAATACCATTACAATCATCTCATCCCATCCGTGCACCATGCCACGCCGCTATGCCACAAAATAATGCAGTCGCAAAATGTTGCCCCCAAAAATGTTGTTCCGCTCAAACGGATGTTGATTAGTATGAAATGACAAGACCGGAAACTCCGAGCCCACCCCTGTGCATAACTGAAGCGTGGAATAGTGTAAGGCAGAAATGCCAGCCGCCTGGAAACTCACTTAAATCCACATGAACAGCGGTGGGGGAGCGTAACAGGGGAGCTTGGAGGGGCAGCGCGAATAGGGATCAGGAGGAGCAGCCGGCCCAATGAAGGGGATGTCAGTGGAGTGCAACCACTCAGGCATGCTGTGGATATTGTGGGCCCCAAACTAAGTGGACACACAAGTGCAGCCAATTGTCCTGACTACGTGGGGTTCCCCGTTTGTTGCATTAATGAGCCTCGGAACGCTGCCCGCACGCCTGAATTTATTGCTACATTTTTGCCATTTCCTTCGTGACAGTTGGTAGATTTATTAAAAAATTATATTCCATAGTTAGGGGGTGTGAGAGAGAGAGAGAGAAAGAGAAAGGGTGGGCGAGAGGATGTACTTGCATGCAATTTATGGTCAAGAGATACTGAAGGATGCACTTAATGACTCTGCAATCCAAAATGAAGAACTGTGCAACGTGCTCGCCCCCCATATGGGGATTAAGAGATTTATGCTAATGCCTCAAGCGGGGGGAAGGAAACATATTGGCTCTGAAGGATAAGAAGATTAGCAGAAAAAACAAGTGGAAAAAAGTATTAAAAGTGGCAGCAGAAACTTGTTTTTGAAATATATTTTAATTTCTACAGCACATTTATCCACACCATTTCTCAAACGTTTTACGCTGTTTGGTTTAAGTAGAAATCGGACAAATGAAACCCAAAATGGCCTTCAAATTAACAAACATTTAGCCAACATTTAGACACCAACCAACCCACAAGCAAAAGTCTCAGATTAGCATACAATTTAAAGCATTTCAATCAAACATAAATCACAACAAGACACTCGAAATGGGCCCACTGGACTTTTAACCTGCAACAACTCAGGCGCCGTGGAACTGGCCCAAAAGGTACAAAATTGTGCGTAGTAAATCAAAAGCGGATACGGAGCAGACGGACAGGCAGGCGGACAAAAGGAGTCGCCCCGAGGGGTGTAGGAAAGCAGCTTTGGAGCAGAAAGCAACAGCATAAAAAATCTATTTTTCAAAATGCAATCCAATGGAATCTGAATCCGTAACAGGAAATCGAAGGGGAAGGGGTAGTGGCAGCGGGAAATTTATGTGCGTCTATTTAGCATTGAGTTAGAAGAGCAGCGCGGAAGCGGAATTGAGCGCACGAACGAGCAAAAATTAAGTATACGCCAGCGTGCACTCAAGCAGCTCATGCGTGCTCAAAAATACCCTATGGAGAGCAGAGGACTGTGCTGTGATCCAGATAGCTTAGGTTTCTATTTAAACATAGAGCAAAAGTCGGGTGCACTTTGATGGCTCCTTGTGACTCTTTGTCATTAGATTTATCTGCAAAGAGTATTCCAATATTCGACACACCAAACACAAGTAATTCCTTCACGTTGAAGCTAGTTTGTGTGTGAGTGTGAGTGAGCAGCACAATTAAATTGGATTTATGGCGCGCATGATTGCAAAATGAAGTTAATGCGCATACAAATACAATCGGGGGTAGTGCGGTGGCCAGTCTGGGGGCAAGAAAAATGATGTTCGAACTTTGGCGTTGGCCAAAGCGAAGCGGAAATCGTACCTTGTTTGTCATGTCATCAATAATCGAGGAGCAGCAAAAGTAAATTGAATAAGAATATTAAAAAAGGGAAAGTATTACGGAAGTGCCAAGGAAATGAACCTCCCACACACAGACACATATTTCAGCTACCAGCAAAAGTTGCAGAAGAACAGCGACGGCCAGCCAGGCCTCTGAAATATTTATGAGCTGCCAGGCCAGAGCCAGAGCCAGGCTCAGTCCGTGGGCCATTCCTTTTTGCAATATTTATTAGTCGCTGTCCTCGTCGTCACAGGACTCTCTCTCTTTCTCTCGTACTTGAGTTTAATGTTAGTTTATGCAATAGTTTTGACATCTTTGACAAGAGAAATTCATCTTAATGGATTGATGACAAATGGCCCAGCAGCTGGGTGCAGAAAGTTATCAGCAAATATGAAATCCATTTATCTTAGAAGAGTGTAAAAGTTCATTGAAAACTTGGCACTATCCTTTTATCACGAAAAGTCCTTGAAGACTGAGGTAATGACAGCAGGAAATGAAGAATTTTTAGTGCCAAATGGCAGTAGAAATGATGAAGAATTTCATGCAAAAACATTTCATGGCCAGACCACAAAAATATTTCGCTCTAACTGAAGTTTTGTGTCGCCCAATAAAAAGGACCCTTGCTTTGCCTTGACCACTAACAGGGGGGGCTGAGAGGGAGCCCGAGTGGAGTATAGTATAGTGGCCATCTACATTTGCCTTTTCTACCCCCCTGCCCAGGGGCAATAAAATAATATTGTCTTATCTCTAACTATGTGCGCAATGCACAACAACAATAGAACTGCGGGCAACTGCGGAAAAAAGTGCGACAACTATTTATTGGGTAGGGGAGAATATCAAAGCAAAGCAAAAGACGAAATAATAAAACCAAAGAAATGAAGGAAGGGCCTCTGGAATGGGAACGGAAGAGTGAGAGAGCGAGAGGGCGACTCACAATAAGATGACGGACGCCCTTCGATGGGCATCGAATAATGTTTTGCTTTGCTTTGCTTTGGTTTGGTTTCTACTTCTATGTGGAAGTAGAGGCACCATTTTTTTCGGCCAAACATATGCTGTTAGAATGTAAGGGAATGGCAGAAAGGAGAAGATGGGTTTGTGGGACTTGCAAATAGATTTTTCATCACACAATACACTTTTTGTATTGTACTCCTCTTACGGGCTCCGTTTTGTTGCCTTTTTCCTTCTCTCTCTGTGTGGAAATTTCAATAATAACATTTGTATGAAGCTGTTTATGTCCTGGCGGTGGCTGTGGCATCGACTGACTGTTGTTCTGCCGCTTCTGCCTGTCGCTGACAATGTGAATGACAATCATGTCACGTCATGCATAAGGTGGCGGGTCTCTGCCTACCCATCTCTTATCCTTCGGTCATATATTCTTTTCGCTCTTTTACATGTTTGTGCCGCTTAACAGGCAACTCGCGTTTGCCTTTTGTTTGCTGCCGTATTTTTTTTATTATATTTAAGTCTCTCTCTCCCTACCCCACACACATGTCAGCAAAAATCGTTTACGCTTCATTGTTTTTACTCAATTTCCAGCCAGTTCCCCGCTTCCTTCGCTGTGCTCCATTTTGTACGGAAAAGTTGTCGGAAAAGCTGAATAAATTGAAAAGTGCCACAAAAACAGATATGTGAAATAGCCTCACTTTGAGTGCTTAACGCTGTGCTACAAAAGAGCTCAAAGCTCTGTCAAAAATGTAAAAATGTATGCAAAATGATTAAGGACAAGAAAAAAACAACACGCTGACTGAGCATTTTTATCAATTGAACAAACCAAACAAAAAAAAAAAAACAGAAAACTTCTCAATGCCAGAGCTTAGTTATAAGTCTCTAATCAAATTTTTCGCCAAAAACCAAAAAAAGTTGTTTTTGTGTTCTGCTGCTGCATAATACGCAGAAAATTCCAATTGCCCCGAAAAAGTAGGCAACACATTTTTCCACTCACTTTGCATTTCCCCCTGAAATGAACTTTTGTGCGGATGGTGGGAGTGTCAGGGTGAGTGTAAAAGGCCAATAAAGCTTTTTGTTTGATGATTTAGTAGGAGCCTGGGCCAAAAGGTATTCAGTTATTATTATGAAGGATGTTCAGTAGTATTACCAGGATAGTGTTTTTGTAAAGGGGATTATGGAAGTGTTAGCTCAGTAACAGTATTAGGACAGTATTTTCTCTGATGTTTTTTTCTAGTCATTCTCAATGCCTTAGTGTAAATTTAACTTATGAAATTTTAGACCAATGGAAAGGAAATTAAAGCAATTCAAATTGATCCAACTCAACTAAACTTCAGGACATTCATTTTGTGAAAGTTATAGTAATTTTATTGAAATCAAAGCTATCCACTCATGTATCAGCATTTCAAATCGCTTTACAGCTCCACTTAAGCTGCTTTTAAATTATGAAATATTTTAGCAAAATTATTGAAATTTAAAAGAAAACCCAACTTAAACTAATGAGGCACTTAAAGAGCCCACCATTGAACAATGCCAGCAAATCTCAGATAATTTCAGTTGCCTCTGGAATGTGCCACTGCCTTTTAAGTGGCAACAATCTCAGAGCAAACATTAATTACGCAAAGATTTTCGGTGGCAGACACAAGCTACCGTTGACTTTAATATTTATAGTGTTCTTTTTTTAAGACAGCTTAAATAAATAACTAGACAGGGAAAAAAAGACGAAGGAAACACCAAGGAAAATTGAGGGAGAGGGCCGAGGGCCGAGGTAGACGCTGAAAATATGCGCCCACGCATAATTATATGAAAATTCGCAATAATTATAAATAATGCAGAGAGCGCTCAAAATGCCAACAGAGAAAACACTCGCCACTTCCGACAACACTGCCACCTGAAAGGCAACAACGAAGGGCATCATCATCCTCATCGTCATCATCAGTGGCAGTGGCAGAAGTAGCAACAAGAGCAACAACAGCGGCAGGGGGCAACACAACAACATCATGGGCCACGCCCCACCATCTCCTACTTAACCACTACGAAATTTCCGCTTCCGTTAAGGCGCGAGCGTAAAATGAATCCATCTACGAACACGAAAATATTCTATGTAAATCCAAAAACAGAGAAGAAAAACGAAGAAAAATGTGATGGAAAATGAATATTTTTGGCTCAAGTTTTCAGTGAACGACCTGCCACAGTCATCAGCACCATCCGCCAGCTTCCGCTTTGGCTTGTGTTATTTTTCCTGCTTTTCAGCCATTATCGACCAGCAATTAGAGAGCGAGAGCCGAGCGCCGAGAGTGCCGCCAACATTGGAGAGAAGTGCATAAACCTGCTCAAGTAGCTAAGAATTGGATTCCAATTCCCTGGAACTTGGAAATTGGTTCTGTGTCGAGTGGCCAAAATAAAAGTAGACAAAAAAAAAGAGTGATTTTGCAAGTGGGAAATGGAAGGTAAATGGCAGGAAAATGGAGTGTCACCATTTAATTGATTATTGCTGCAGATGGACACCAAAGCGGAAAAGTTCCTTGGAAAATTCGTAATTTCTTGCACTAGTTTTCTGGTAATAATTTTCTAGTAGTTTTTATTGTATTTTCTCTAGTATTTTTATGGTTTTCTTTATAATTTTTCTAGTGTTTTCTCTAACATGTTAATGGTAGTATCTGTGGTACAGTCTAATTACTTTTTTGTTGTACTTTTCCAACTAATTTTTCTAATAGTTTTCCAAGTATTTATTCTTCTTTATATGCCTAACATTTTGTAGTAATTTTCATAATATTTTCCTCATATTTCCTGGTTTATTCCTGGCATTTCCAGGGAAATCATCATGGAATCGCATGATTGGAAAATATATGCCCCCAAAAAAACTGGAGCGATTTCCATTTACAAGTTCCCGCACCATGGCCACAATTCAAATTTATTTTTGTATAAATTATCTGTCAATCCCAAAAGCTGCTGCTGGCCGCTCGCGGTTTATTTTCAATGCTCAACCCTAATTTGTTTATGGAAAATGAGAGATTTCTACCCAGCCCCTGCCCCCGCTCATCTGTCATCGGCAGGTATTTTGTTATTTGAAAAAACAATTGCCCACCGTTGACCAGTAGCTATGGACGGTTTTCCCTTTTTGTTATTCCATTTGTTATCGATTCTCTTAAATTTATATTTATGAAACAAATATGTCAACAGCAGACGGGCAGGTGAGGTGGAAGAGAGAATTTCCACCCGGTGCGGGTTCTGCCATAAAAATCACATAATTCTGCTGTGCCTTCCTGCTCCCGCTCTTATTCTGCACCGTTGGCTTGGTTAATGTTTTCATTTTATTGTGCATAAACTAAAACCAACAACAAAAACAGTTTTATGCGTTTCTTTCTTCGTTTTTTTTTTATTGGCTTAATACGGTTGAAGGAGTAGAGCGCGCTCTCAAGTGGTGGGAGGGAGAATTGTTTTATGGCTACCGCTGCGGCTCGTACCTTTATGGCATAAATGGAATCGCTTTAGATTTGTCTGTCGATTGAAATTGCAAAAATCTTATCATAAAATCATGTTGTTCGTGACTTACACAAAATGCTAATGTTCAAGATACAATCGGCTAAAACGAATCTTTATTTCATTTTTGGGGGGCATGCTCCTATTCCTTCAAGTGCTTCACCATAACGACTTCATTGCGTGATGTCTGTGTGGCGGGCCGAGCGAAAAACTGTCAATGTCTGGCATAAGTCCCTTTCTCCTTTCTCCTTTCTCCTTTCCCCTCCTCATCATATTTAACAGCTCATCAAGCAAACAGAAGTCTGGTAAAACATTGGCAATCAGTGGAGCATTAATTTGTACAACAATTTCCGCTGTAGACCCGAGGCGAAGCCCTCGGATCTGGGATTACTCGAAGGTCTGGGGCTGGGGGGATTCGTTTTGGTCAAAAGTCAAAACTCCGTTGACCCGCAGCGATGCGTAAATGTTTTTCGCCGCCCCCCTTCTTATGTTTTGGTCTCCTTCTAGTGGTTTTTCCTTTCTGTTCTTCCGTTTTTCCTTTCCAATGATTCAATAACACGTGTTACGGACGGACACATCGGCTGATTAGAACAATTTCAATTTTCACGCGAACATTTTCCTCTTTTGGACTTTTTTGTTGGCTTTTCTGCAATGTCAGACCTTTCCTTTTTTGGGCACGAAGGTCATTCGATTTGATTAAGCAATATTCTCCGTTTGTTTGGGATGATTTAGCAGGAAATTTATGTGTGTTAAGGAGCTCCAGTGGGTTGTACTCTTGTGACAGGTCAAACACTCCTTCATTCTGACAAAACCGTTGGGGCGTGGCAAAAATTGAAGCAGATTCGGGCGTAAAGTTGGAATTTTTATGGGGTTTCAAGCGTTGCGAAAACACCGAAATACCTTCAAAAGTTCTACGAGAGATGCAAATTGCTTTATTTAATTGGAAATAAAATCGAAACACCTGAAAAGTAAAGAAAGTTTTCCCTGAATGGCTGAGTGGCCAACGAATAACATTTGTTGTTGCTTTTATTTTGGTCTTCCGTTTCAATATTTTCACAGAATTCATTCAATAAAGTTTTGTGTGCGGTGGAGGAGAGGGGAAACCGCATTAAAAGTTTTATTTTCGTTGCTGTTTTGTGGAATGCAAAAGTGTATTTGATATCTTGGCCAAAAGCGTGAAATTCTCACACAAAAACAACAAAAAAGCTTTTCAATCTCAAAATTCATTTGCTTGAAATCGAATAACGCAGAAAACAAGCAGCCAGAGAGCAAAGAGAAAGCAGGGAAAGCGGAGAAGAGGTGGCCGAAGAGTGAGAGGAGGAAGAGCCAGCCGGCACTTCATAATGAAATGAAATCTTATCAGATTTCAGCTCTTGATTGTTACCCAGCGCCACAATATTGTTGCTACAGCTGCTGCCTTTCTCTGTGTGTGTGTGTGTGTGTGTGTGTGTGTGTGTGTGTGTGTGTGGCAAGCAGCAAAAGGCAAAAAGCAGCTCGACTCTTGCAACTTTTGGCAGCAGCAAGAGCCAATTCGATTGCATCCTCGACTCTGCTGCTCCTGCTTCAAAGGTAAAAGTTATTTTTGTGTGTGTGTTTGGCACTCACCTGTCGTGGGATTGTGTCGTCCTGCGGCAGCCAGACTGAGATTGCGTGGCAGAGTCATGCAATCAACACCGCCACCGCCACCGCCACCACCGCTTGAGGAGCCACCAGCGCCCATGCCCGGGTGTCCGCCCACGGGTGCCACGCTGGTGAGCAGCACATTGCCGCGGCTATCCACCAGGGCGGTGCCGCCACCCGCCAGATTCAAGGCGTTTCGCGCATAATTCAATGTTGCGGCGTGATGCAGCGTGCCCGATTTGGGGAGCGTCATCATGCCGGGATTGTAGCTGACGCTATTACCGGACACGACAACAGAGGCCGATCCAGATCCCCCGCCACCACCACCACCGCCACCGCCACCGCCACCACCATTGCCTGCGCCTCCATTGGCAGCGTTTGAGGTGCCCCGCCCGAAGGTTTGCGTGCCACCACCCTTGATTTGCATATGTTCTCGCTGCTGTTGCTGCTGCTGCTGCTGCTGATGTTGCTGCTGCTTGGAACTGGTGCTGTAGGTGACATTGCCCATGCCATCTGTGGGCACCTTTGAGCCGTCTAGTGGGCCAGTGTTGCCGCCACCCTGCTGCTGCTGTTGTTGCTGTTGCTGCTGTTGCATGCCCGTGTTCGAGCAGATATGAGGTGGCGGTGGCTTTGCCTCATTTGCAGCTGCTGCTGCGGCTGCAGCGGCCGCCTGCAGCAGCATGGCCGCCTGTTGCCCCGCCTGCGAGTCCTGATGACTCTCCACATCCACAATGACATTCGCGGAGCTCTGCGAGTGGCCCATGTGGTAGTGGGCGTGCTTGATGGGCTCCGGCGGATACGGCACCTGCTGGTGCATGCTCCTTTGCTGATATTGCTTCTGCAGTGTCTTTACCTCCAGCCGCGTCTTGTCCCGCTGATAGTAGACACCCGCAAAGATGAGAACGTTGAGTATCAGCAGGCTGCAGCCGATGGCAATCGTAACGCTCAATGCTGTCGAATAGGCCGCATAGCCGGCCGCCTCGAAGCCCGAGGCCAAAGTGTCCGACGAGGCGTTCGCCAGTGTTGTTGGGGCAAACACGCCACCACCGCCACCGCCGTTCGTATAATTTCCTCCAATTGGTATACAGGTCGTATACATATTGTTGGGCTCCACGGTGGTCACTGCAAAGAGGAGAAGGTAGAATTGCATATTAATCTCTTTGCTTATTTACTTCCCCATGTCCATGGTGTCGTATGAGTAATGTCCTCACTCGTACGATGAATGGGCAGGATGAGGCCTCCGGGGGGGGGGTTTGGCAAAATATTGTTTCAGATGCCACACAATTTCCATTACGAGTGCAATGCACTTTCTGTTGGATGTAATTTACATCTTTAAGATATCGAAATGGGGTCAAAGCGATGGGTTTAAGCTCTAGCATTCAAGAGGCGCTCATTGGGAATGTGCGATTCTGTCTACAGAAATGCCCGTAGAGCTCTGCTGATTATCCTCAGAATTAACAGGTTTTAGCTGCAGCCCCCTTTTTGGCCTTATTTAATGTTCTTTCATGTGCCTTATCCCATCATCAATTTTCTGTGCCACGATGATGCCTAAGCTCTGGTTAAGAGTTTTCCCAGAACAAAGACGAAAATAAATAAAAACCCTGCACACACACACACACACACACTCTCTCTCTGTCTCTGTCTCGCTTTCTGTTTGACCTGAATTCCAGTGAAAAATGGGAATAGAAGCAAAATCAGGTAAACAGTCGAGTCGGTTGCTTGGCAAGTATAAAGCAACATGTGGCACGGGGAGCAGGCTTAACCCACGAAAGTAAATGAAAGAAAATCCCTAGCACTGCGAGGAGGGAAATTTGCATATTTCTAGCGATTCCTCGAGGATGGTGAGGGCTGATTAAGCTGGAAGGGAAATGTCAAACTATCACTGAAAATAGAAATGGTTCACTTAATAAATGTGCCCGACCGATGCCGCATCAGCTGAGCCTGCAGAAATATCTAATTTATGCAAGGACATTCCATGAAGCATCATCCTCTACTTCTGCACCCTCATTTCCAGTTTGATTTTATGGCTTGGGGTTGCTCCTCTCGACTCGACTCGACTCTTCTCTGTCTCTGTCTCTTCTTTTTTTTCTGATTCCACTAATTAAAGCCACATTAAGCAGGGCCCTTCCTCTCCTTGCTCCATCTCCCTTTTTGGGTCTCTGTCTCAAGCTCAATGCTTCACTGAGGCCATGTGTCCTCGTAAACATCACTATCTGCTGCTGCTGCTGGGCGGGGGTTGGGAGGTCCTTGAACGCAATGGCAAACGAAAAGCAAAATTAAAAAATAAAAATAAAAAGGAATTAAAACTGAGAGGGAAAAATCACGAAAAGCTGCACACAAACTGAAGCCAAAGTATTTTTCGTACTTGTGCGCAAAATTAAATGCAAAATGGAGCGGAATGATAAAAAGCTTAGTGGCCGAGAAAGGGTCGAGAAAAGTGCTACCCAAAGGGGGGAATTTGCACCCCAAAAAGGGTTGCCACAACACTCACACTGAGAGAGGGGAGCGAGCGAGTCTCAAGTGTTTCTTCAGAGTGTAGACAAGTGACAGGTTGCTCAACCCCCACACACACACACCCACACAATCATGATTGATGGCTGAGAATTATGTATAGATTGAGAGGCTAATTCCAAATTGGTTTCCTTTTCTTTTCTTTTTTTTCCTTTTCTCTTTTTTTTAGTTGCGTTCCCTCCACCTGATGGCAAAAGTTCTTTTGTTAACCCAAAAATCTTGAGTAAATTAAATGCCACACTTGAATGAAAATTGGAAAAGCTCTTCTCTGGTTCGCTTCCCTTAGACTTTGAATGGCAGCTGTGAATCTTCACACGATTACTGAGAGACAAAGGCAGACGAAGAGAGAGATTATTAGGAGAGATTTATTTGTAAAATATTTATGCAAAATACGTGCCTCAAGTCTTTAATCTTGAGCGAATATAACTTTGTGCCAAAAATTGTGTGTTGATATGCAGAAAATTGAAAGGCAAAACTTTAGAGACAAACATTCAGAGCCACAGCCAACACACAACTACTCCATTATCTTCCCATCATACGAATGGCATTCATTCATATCCTCCCGCACTTGATACAAAACAATGCCAAGTGTAGGAAGCACTTGAGTAGGACTCCAAAGGAGGACTCTTCCAGTGGAGACTCCAAAACAATGCCAAGACAATGACAAATACACCATTTTCAAGGGGAGCATGGGCGGCCCCCCAACGGAGAGGACAGGAGAGCAAAAACCCATTTGTTATCACAGAACATTTTCAACTCCTTCACGTCCAACAGTCGTGTATACCTTTGGCGGATACAATGGAAGTGAAGGAGACGCCTTAAGTGGTGCATGGAGCATAGAAAATGGAAATAATTTTATATTCTGGACAGTTGAATAAAACAAAAGTGAGAAAGCATGGAAAAAACTCTACTTGAAAATGATTGCAAAACTCAATCTACATAAATCCCAAGACAATGTGCTAACCATAACTCGAGGAAATATTGGCCACGTTTAGGCATCGATTTGGACACATTTTTATGGCTTAAGAAGAGGAGAAATTATGGGAGGAGGAGTGCGAAAGTGTGTCAGAATTCTGTCATTTGTAGAGCTAAGCTACTGTGTGAAAGAGAGAGTGTTGCTTGCTTTGTTCCACCAAACCACATTTACTTTCTTTCCACTTTAAACCCATTTTTGCTACAAAATCAAAGAAAAGAGTGTCCGAATTGTGTAACTACTTTGCTAAGCTACTTTGTGAAAGAGTGAGAAAGTTTTGTCCTTATTTTTTCTCATCTTCTTGTTTCATGTGCAAGTCCAATTTAATTTCTTTCAACTTCGTTTTTAAACCCATGTATGCAACAAAGTCAAAGCAAAGAGTGTCAGAACTCTTTTCTGAAACAACAAAGGCTATTTTTAAAGCACTTATACTCTGTGAAAGATAGAGAGTTTTCCTTTGTCTTGCTTTTCTTCATGTTTCACTTGCAAGCGCATTTATCTTCATACAAATTCGTTCTCAAATCCATTTCAGCTACAAATATATTTTTATAACTCGAACATTTTCCAGCCACAAAGAGATCCTCGAGTATTCCATCAAAAGGAAGACAAAACAGAGACATAAAATACGAAAAAAAACTATGGAAAAAACTCAGAAAAATCCAAGTACTTCAACTCTGGGAACTTTTTTTCACGCCACCGAGCGACTTAAACTTCTTTGGAAAAACTTGTTTTCCATTTTCGCATAGCGTTTTTCTTGGCTTTCAGTTTTCAGTTCTCACGTCTTTCGATTTGTGTTTTGTTGCGGTTTCTCGTTCTTGTGGATTTTTTGGCTTTTAGTTGCATATTGCTGTCGCCTCTTTTTGGCCAAAATAGGTTGGTTGTATAAGTAAAGGCAACGGAAACGGCAATGGCTAAGGTGACGACGTTGACGACGACAGTAGGAGACCAAGAGGCAGCACAGTTGGCAAAGTCAACGCTTAAATGAAAAGCATGTCAAAGTATGTCGAGTCCATATGACACTGTGACTCTCGGTCTCTCTCTCTCTCTCTCTCGGTCTCTGGGTCTCTTTGGGTCTGTCGGTCGGTCGGTCGGTCGGTGCCTCCCAGCGTGTCTGGGGCTTTCCTACAATCTCCAATCTCTAGACTCCGCTCCTAAACCTCCACTGTTGGGCGTTGTTTTTTGTGGCCTGCGTCCGTCGGCTGTCATTCTGACAGCTGTTTGTCGCTTTTCAGGCATTTTATCATCTTCTATTCCCACTTTTGTGTCCGCTCTCTGTCTACTACATTTTATACCATTCTACCATTCTATATTTCTGTGAATCGTAGTCACCTCCATCTACATTTTACTCTGTCTCTCTCTCTCTCTCTCTCTTCTCTGCGTCGCTTTTCTGTTTGCCTGTAAGTTTGTTTTGATGGGCGGAGGATTTAGTTTTCGCAGCAGCGTTTGTTGGATGTTGGCTCTGGCCTCTTGCACTAATTGAAATGAACATTTTCTGTTGTCCTTGTGGCTCGCTCTGTGGTTCCAACGCTCACTCCCCCATCACCACCATCCGGTGACAAGGCCACCACAAGTCATGCTCTCCTGTCCGCTATTCTCTGATGTTCTCTGCTGTTTGTTTTGGTCACAGATTAGTCATGGAAATTAAATTTTAAAGGGCTGTCTCTTCCAATCAACAACAAGAGTGGAAAACGATTTCAACTCTGGAAATACAAGTTTTCCGACTCTCATATACAGGGCAGAAACAATCTAAATAGCTGTGGCACTATTTCTTACTTAAACAAACAGATAAACGGTCACCTAATGGAACTCTTATTTGCTTTGCAATTCACTTGAAAGCATCACGACTCGAGGGGCGAAGAGACGCAGAGCGCAAAACGATGCAAAATTGTTTTTGCAATTTACATTGGTCACAGCTTTCGAGCGATCTACCTGCTGATAAATATCAGCAGACAAAAACAACAAGGCAGCGACCTTTTTATGTTGCGCTCTCTTTCTCTCCATAGCGGACGATTCTCGGGTCTCGTTCTGCTTGGAGCGGGAGAATGGAGGAACGCAAACACGAAGACTGCGCTGCCTGCGTGATCGATGTAACTGATTACCGATTGCAGTACCGGGTATATGCGACTGTGCATAAATCTGCACTTTCTAAAGCTTGCCTTAATTTCTAGTGTTTTCTAATGGACAAGAATTTTGGCTTTTGGTGAAACTCCTCGTACAATTGCCACGATTGGCAATTGGTCCCCTCCACAAGCTAATCCGAATGCGTTTTGAATTGGCAAACTTAGCAATGATAGCTAGAAGGGGAAATAGAGGGTAACTGGAAGGGTGTAGTCTGGAGGTTGAATCGCGAAGTAAGCGTGTGCACTGGGGAAGAGGGTCTTGTAGTGGAACTGCGCGAAAGTTTCGCTTAAAATTGACTGTGGCTTAATTCTGACTCTGAGATAAGCTAACGGCAGTGGCAGCCTCAGCCTCAGCGACAGCGACAGCGACAGCAACGGTCGAAGTCGCAGAAACAGTTGCTATGGCATGAAACAAGGCCACGCCCATCAGGGGGAGGCCGCCCACCACAGCACTGCCACCAAATGCAAGCATTTGATGTTTGAGTTGAATTCTCTCCCTCTCTCTCTCTGCCCCCTTAGGAGTGTGTTTCCAAAGCAACGCAGCTGCTGCTTGAGTTGCACTTGCCACACACAGAGAGAGAGAGAGAGAGAGAGAAAGCGAGCTGTGGGGACAGTTTATTAAAAAATGGCGAAAAACATAAAGGGAAAAGCGAGCGGAGGAAAGCGCCGAGGAAAGTTTGCTGTTAATTTAGACTAAGTGTTGAAAAAGTTTTCCGCCAACGAGTTTTACATAAACTGGTTTAATGACTTGCCATCAGAGCTAGGGGATGATACGGGGTGAAGCTAGAGTGTACATGCAAGTGCATTAAAATTATGCGCTATTTGCATTTGTGGCATCTTAGACACCAGAGTCACTCGAAAGCCAACCCCAAAACGAGAAATGTATGCCACAAGCAGACAGGGAATGTGTTGGGGGTGGCTCGCAAAAAAGGTTGCACACACTTAATACTTGTAGAGATTACAGTTGAGTGCATTTCCAAAAGTCAGCAGTCGGCACAATATAAATTCAAAAGCCAAAAAACCCCCCCAAATTCCATATTCCTTGTCCCGACTTCCATCTCCCATGGATGGACGTAATTTCAATAAGCAAACGGGGCCGGAGGATCCCCAGCTGGAGGTCCGAGAAGTTCTTTGGGGTCAAAATGGAAATGTCATGGCGGCAGAAAGAGGGTTATGGGGCTTGGGAGTCACAAAATGCCAACTTTGCAATCTCCACTTTGCCACAAAAGTGAAGTAAACAGAGGACCGGACTAGGCCCAGGACCGACCGACGACGGAGCACAAGGCCGAGTAAACACAACTCTTTTGCCTAGTCAAAAAGAAGAAAAAAAGTGTTGATTTTCCACAGAAGTGGAAGAGGGAGAAAAGCATAAAAGAAAGAATAAATAAGAAGAGTTTTCCTCTTTCGAATTTCGGGTTTTCACTTGAGTGGGGGAGAACCAAACATTTATCCGACCACACATGGCGTTTGCGTAATATATTTCATTTGCCTCAGTTATTAGACAAATGCGCACATGTGCGTACACGTTTTTGTGCAGAATGTGTATCTTCAATGTTTACACATGTATGAAGGAAGTACAAGTACTTTGCTAGAAGTTGTCTTGATTTAAGGCGAAATGTGGCACAGGGTAGCTCCCACTTCCATCACGAAAGAGTAACCAAAAGGATGGTCTAACTGAGTGCGACAAAGCGTTAAAGCAGAAATCGAAGTAAAGAAAGTCCTGTGGCCTTATTTTAATTTGTCACTTTATGCAGAATCCGCAATTAAATAAAGCCCCTCATCCAAAAAGGCCACAAACTTGCCCCTCACTCTCACTCTCACTCCATCTCTCTCTGTCCCTTTCGTTGAGGTTTTGGCCTTTGTCAAATCAGAGCATTAAACGACAACTGCAGAATGGTACAAAGGTCCAAAAGGGACATCTACAAAGGCGATAGGCGTGTTGCTCCTTGGGGAGCTTTGTGCGTGTGCGTGCGGGCAGGGAAACCCCTGAAAGTCGCAGTTGTAAGTGTGTTTGTTTTTGGGGGAGTTGTGGTTGAGGGGGTCTGGGGAGCTGGATACACTTACCACCCAATATGCCATTCAAATAGGCCGAAGCATTCATGCCGCGTCCCTTCTTCATCATCAACTGCTCATCGACAAGAAGGAGGCGCGACGACGAGCCGGAGGATGATGAGGATGTCGCTGTTGATATACCGAATGGATCCGGTTTAACAGGTCCCTCGTACAGGTCCATATCATCGTGATTTCGAAACAGATTGTGTCTAGCTATCACATCCTCCATCCCCGCGCGATGTAGCTCCGGTATAAGGCGCAACCAAATGGAGAGTTGATGGGCCCGAAAGTGATTCTTAATACGCGGCTTCATTCCTGCAAGAAAAAACACCACAAAAACAAAAGGCAGTGTAAGCAAATATCTTCATTTTCAAACGAAACATGCATGCAAATATCCCACATGTCCCGCCCATGTCTAATGCTCTAAAACTATTCAAAGTTGGCTTTTGGGCCAGCCACTTTGCTCAAGTCATTTGCATGCCAAAAAGGTGAGCGACAGCGACACACAGACACTTGCTCCCCCCAAATGAGGGCAACTGCTGCTGCTGCTGCTGCTGCTGATGTCTTGTTTATTTTTAAAGTGGGCTGAAAGCGACACAAAATGTTTAATTTTTGATGCCTCAGGCACATAGTCAAGGGCTCTTCGTATGGCAATGGCAAATAGTGCTGTTGCCAGAGCAGCGAGATCTCATGTATGGAAACTTATTTATAATATATGTGAAAAGGAAATGAGGAATCTCAACCATCAATCGAACGAGATTGTGAGAGAAAATGCGAAATCTGAAATCCAAATAAAATACGAGAATTGCACGCATTTTGGTGCCGCTGCTGGCTGCATAATTTACACCAGAGAGGAGAACTTTCAATCCATTCAGAGTTTTCCCATCATCATCATCATCATCCATCCCGTGACCGGGCGAGAGGCTTATGCATAAGATATGTCTGCTTATGGATCAATGTATTTTCCACAGCTGCCTTTGTGGAAATTCTTTTGTATGCCGTTGCCCCACTCACACACACACACTCGGATATTATTTGATTTCGATTTTAGTTTTCAGGTTTGTAGTGCAAAAATCCTTTCAAACTTGCGCTTATAGAAAGTGCCAGAGATCTGTGGCGCTGCCTGAATGAGCATTCTGTATAGAATGTCAGCTGCCGCGCTTCTGTGTGTCGTTTCAATTAAAATTAAACGTACAAAACATCAACAGCATAAAAGATAAAAAGGAAAAAAGGTAAGGAAAAATGAAGGAGAGGTAATGGCTTCAGCAGACATATCTTTTGATATGCATCGTCCTTCGTCCTTCAATGTTTACGTGTGCGTAAAGTGCGTGACAGCAGGCCCTCTCTTTCTATATCTCTCTCTTTTCCTCTCTCCTATGATATTCTTCCCCTATCCTTTACCTTTTTAAAAGCCATTCTCCAACGTGTACACAATCTTAAGGCAAAATCCATTGGCATAACCTGTGCGTAATTTTCATAAACCGTTAAGCCCGTGTATATCTGTCGCTATCTTCAATTTGTGTGTGTGTGTGTGTGTGTGTGTGTGCGGGTGTGTGTGTGTTAGCAAGTGACTCAGTGGAAGAGTGAGATGACTGAGTGGCAGAGTGACTGAACTCAGGAGTGTGGGGCAGCGTGAGGAGTCTCTGCGTCAAGTGGGGTATATTGATTTTGTCATTAAGTGGAGTAATGGGAACAACCGCAAAAGGCTTCTATTTCCAACTCAAGTTTGGAATGTAAACAAAAATATATTTTCGAATATTTTTGTAAGCTCTTCCTGGTAATATTTTTAGTTGATTATTATAAGTGTCGACCATGTTTGAGTACGGAAATGAATTTTCCCACAGAGGAGTCGAACACTTGGGAAATTTCCCTGTTTTTCTAGCTTCAAAGACCAATTTTCTGTTGTAACTTTAAAAGTCTTGAACTCATATTTACTTCACTAACGCCTAAAGCGAATGGCTAATAAATAAATATTAATTATTTAACACTCTAAAGAAACTACAAAAATGATTATGCAATGCAAAAAAATACCTAACAAATAAATAAACTATGAAGTATTCATATTTTAGTTTAGTTTATTAAATTTTGAAACTCGTACAACCGTTTTGAGGGTATTTATTGATGCTTATTAAATGTAAATATTATTTTCTAGCCGCTTTAGGTGCTTTATCTGCCGCTGGCATTGGCACACAAAAGGTGTGAAAAATGTGAAATTAATAACATTTTCGTACATTTGACATGGAAGCAATGGCGCCGATTTAACACACACATAAAGCTTTATGTCGTACACACAGTATCCACACTTTGGCGCTTAGCTTCCAACTCCTTTCAACTTCCCTCCCGGCATTTGCCATCAGCCATTGACGGGCGTCTCTGGGCGTTTTGATTGCCCGTCCGCCCATCATCTACCAGGTGGATGGATGCTATGCTACTCCTGCTGCCGCTGCTCCTCCTTCAGCTCTGCCACCTTCTGCTCCACTGTACTGACAGTCGCCCCTTGTTATGCCACATTTTTTTCCAAGTACTTGTGTGTGTGCCTTCCCCTGCTACACGTTCATATTTTTCCATGTTTTTGGCAGGCAGAACATGTTCCAGGCGTTGGGCCTTCTTTAAAATTCAAATTAAATTTGATTCGCTCTTTCTTTTTGTTGGCACGGCAAATTGGTAGCCATGAATTCTTTTTACTGCATTTTGCATGTCATTTATGGGGTGAGAGATTTACAAAGGAATAAAAGCGACTTGCATATTAACAGATTTTACTCCAAAGCAAAGAAAACTTGTTTCCACATCAAAGGCAGCTCAAAACTATCTGTGGTAGCATATTGCTTATTTAAGAGCAGACTTCACAGCAAAGCCAAAGGAAAGCAGTGGAAAATCATGGCGGAAAATACCGGAAAGAACTTTTCTTGTGGGGTGGTGGGGTTTACTCACCTATTTCCAAATACTTTTGATGCAGCGGATCATAATTTTCCCAGGTGATGCTGCGAAAGCGATTACGCTCCTTTGAAACAGGCAGCGACGAGTCCTGGCGATGGTGTTCGTTCGGATTCCTGCAGCAAAGAGAAAGAGCCAAGAAGAAGGTAAAGGAAAGCCATGAAAAATACAACAGTTTAAGTGGAGTTTAGAGCAAGCGGAAAGAAGGAAGAGCTTAAAGTGCAGCAGCAGCAGCAGCAGGACAGCAGGTGTCCTAAGACTTTTCTCAGAGACACTTACCCGGTGCGTGCAAAGTTGCTCCAAAATATCATCACAGCTTCGGACAGCGCTGTCTCCGACTTGGTGTAGTTCTGGGGAAAGTGGCTAAAGCCATCCACCAGTGGTGCCCCGAAAATGTAGGGCAAGTCCTCACCATGCACCGTGCCCATGCGCTGGGGATAATCACCGTCCTTGGTCTGATAGTCGAACACATAGAAGTAGCAGCGTCCTGCCGGCTGGGTGGACGTTCCTGCCGAGGTCGAGGCAGCTGGATTTCCGCCTCCCGACGAGCTTGCCGGCGACTGAGAGCTTACGGGCTGTGGCGATTGTGAGGCCAGGATGTCGCCCGTTCGGACAATTGGTGCCACAAACTGGGCATCCGATAGAGCTGCCACAGCGGTGTCTCGTGTATTGATCGGATGCTGGGATGTGCGATCCCAATCCGTGTACTCGTTGACGATCTACAGAAGGGTATTTTGTTACATAAAATACATCCTCAAATATAGATATAGAGGGAGAGAGCGAGGGATTGGTTGCATGTGTGCAAAGTCAAATCCTTGCTGGATTACATGGGGATTTCGACTGTGTTTGCATGTCCTTGTTTGCGGTAGCCCATCCACATCGCACAGCCACAAAACGATGCTGGCAAGGAGCAGCAGGAGCGACGCTCTGATTATCTCTGCCAGCATGTGTCTGCCACTAGTAAACGACCACAAAAATGCATCTGTAAAATCGATGTCATGCATAATTTAAAAATCTCCCTCCCAAAAAAATAAAAAACGAAAGTATTAAATGAATTCTAACAATTGTCGTTGTGTGTGTGTGTGTGTGTGGAATATATTTACATGGCATTGTCTCTGATTCTTTTATACTCCCTCCAGATATCAGATTGTCTCTGGATTTTCCTCTGCAAATATTGATACTGATGCTGCCATATATTTGTGGGGGATTTTCATTGATTTTTGGTTGGGGAGACATTTCTCCAAAATTTTTGGAGTATTTTAATTTTGAAAAATTAATGGAAATTGTTGAAAATGTATTAAATATATTTAGCTTATTGTTTCAAAGTAATTGAATTCTCTATTGATTATTTGGCTACCATTTGTCGATTATTTATGGTTCAAATATCAACTTTTCAGTCATTTTTTGCTTCTTTGAATTAATTGGAATATTTAATTTAATTTCCGTGGCAGCCATCAACATCATTTCGGGACTTGTCTGCTGACCCCCATGCCACATAAATGAAGGCTTATGGAAGATAAATACTGAAGCCAGTGTCCTCGAGTGTCCTGCTTTTTGCGCTGCGCTTACGCACACTCGTAAGTATAATGAAGTAAAATAAATACGGGCTTTAAGCGCTATAATCGTGATATATGCCGTCGGCAATTTACGACTTTCCCACACACACACATGCATGTACATGTGTACATATAAATATATCTGCTGAAAATGGTGACAACAGCAAGGCTGAGTCTGAGTTTGAGTCTGAGGTACAGATACTCGCACAGAAATCTGACTTCTGACGTTGGGATGCGATGCGACGATGCCGCTGCTGTTGCTGTTTACTGTGATTTGGGTTAAGTGCTGCTTGTGCGCTTTTAAGTAGGTATGTGTTGGCACACGCATACACACACACACACACACACACACGTGCATGTTTGTGTGTCTATGTCCTTGCACACATTTGCCAAATAAAGCGTGTTAATGTTTTGGCAGCAATGGCGTGTTAACTGCCTTCCATTTCGCTCGCTTGCACAATGAAAGAATGAAAATGAAAACCAGCCAGTAAAAGCATAACATAAATACACACAACAGCAACAGCTAAATGCAAAAAAATATTAAAAGTTGCAAACACGAGTCTGAAATGCAGGCAGACAGACAGGAGTTTCAATGTGTTTCAATGGGCGTGAGGGGTGGCAGAAAATGTTACCCATACGCAATGTGTAATTATAATTACACTCTCGCATACAGTTACACCAAACAGTATGTGCGAACATTTAAATTGACTTTTTTAGCAGTCACAGTTGTTGTTGCTGTTGTTTCAGCTGCCGCCTAGAAGTGTTCACATTCTATTGACAGCCAAAATGGGAGCTTAAACTTGAATTCAAAATAAATTAAACAGAGGAAAGCAGCATGAAACTTTCGATACTCTAATAAATTAAAGTTCCCCCTGCATAATTGAAATAATTGTTAGTCTTTATCTAATTTCCCACATTTAAGGCAAATTTTTCTTTGCATCTGGCAAATGTCTATAAAGTTTTGAAGTGCAAACTTTGAGACAGTTTCTTGAGCAAAGGAAGAAAAAAAAACAACAAACAAACAAACAAACAAGCAGAAAAAAAGTAGAGTAAAGTAAAAGTTGAAAAGTAAACGGCCAGATAAAGGCAATAATTAGGCTTTAAACTGATGCCAAAAACTGGCACGACAGACAGACAGCGGCTGATGGCAAAGAAGATTTATGGGTCGGAGACCTCAGACACAAACCACATCCCCTCCCTCTCTCTCTCTCTCTCTTGTTCTCTCTGAGGTAAGTGCAAACTTACCGTATAGAATATCTCATTAAGGTGATAATTGTATGCATTGCGGACATAAGTGCGGATAATTTTATCTCGCCGCTCGCCCTCGAAACCATTTTGTATATCGTGAGCACTGAAGCGCCAAATCGATTCGCCCGTAACGACGCCAAAAAGCACATCATAGTGACCGCCCATATTTGCTGTGGCGGAGGCGCCACCGCCAAAGTAGCCGCCACTGCCACCGTTGAAGGACGCACCACTGCCACCGCCGCCAGAGCCAGAGCCAGAGCCACCATTGCCACCCGGTGATGTCTGGAAGCCAAACTCCGCTGATGAACGCTTCGAGTTGCGGGCCATTAAATCATCGATATCGAGATTGGAATGTCCGGGTCGTATGACAACGCCATCAACCTAAATTGAAAGACGGTAACAATCGGCAAGTAAATGACAAAAGTAGTGGCAAAACGACAAAGGAAGGAGCAGAAGCAGCGTCTGCAGAGTGGAAAAGGAGCGGAAAAGTAAGTAATAAAGTCCATTGAAGCGGACAACCAGAACAAAGGGATGGAAACAAAACCGAAAATTGAGGGAGAGTACTCTCTCGTTTGAATTTCTTTCTCGTTTGATTTTACCGATGGTCCGAAGGATGTCAGAAAGTTTGGTGCCTGTATATCCGCACTGTACAGATCCTCCAGCGGCACATCCCGCAGACAGTCGACGATTTGCTCGTGGTGTCGATTCAGGTCCTCCGGTATAGTGCAATTCACTTCTTTGGCCAGCTTGATGGCAAACAGCACGGGATCCTCGACGAGGGCCCACGAAGAGTACGCCGAACCGGACATCAGGATGGCACGATGGAAGAGTCCCCGCACCATCGTGGGCGATGTCATCAGATAGTTAATGCAGGCCGCTCCAGTGCCATGTCCTGCAAGGGTTACCGCATTTGGATCGCCACCAAATTTCTGTATATTCTGTTGGATCCAATGGAGCGCTGCCATTTGATCCATGAGCCCATAGTTGGCCACCCTGGCATGGGCATGCGGATTGGGATTGGCATTGAGGAAACCTATGGGAAGAATTTGCATAATTAAGGAGAGACTCTTTAGGGTTGAGTTTGGGTGTTTTGCTGTACCTAATATGCCCAGCCGATAATTGAGTGTTACCACCACCACTTCGCCATAGCTGGCTAGGATGCTGCCATCGTAGGGATTGCCGCTGCTCCACTCGAAGGATTCGCCATGAATGAACACCATTACGGGCAGCTTTTTCTCATTGGCACCAGCTAAAGCAATGAATACATAGAAAATATATATCATAAATTGAAATCATCATTTAAAAGGCAAAAAGAAAGTTGTGTTATCTCAATGCCACCCCGCCTACACTGCCCCACAAAACCTGCACCATTAAATATGTTTCCGTTTGCGTGCAAAGCGGATTTTGCCATAGAAATCGCTTCAGATTAGTGGATTCACTTGGCCCTGGCCCCGTGGATTTTTGGTAGCACTTGGGGGGTGGCACTTGCGATAAGATTTTCACTGTGCGCAGAGTTTACGTGCCCTGCCATTGCCCTTCGCTTTTTTTCTTATTTTTTTTACGTATAAATTATTGGCATTACGTGGCGTACGATTAATCTTAATTAATTGAATTTAAATAAGATTTATGAAGAGCTTAATGCACGCTTGTATTTTTCGTTCTCTGCTTTGGCTGGGGATAAAGCTTTTCCCTGTTTTCTGGAGTTTTCTTTTGGGTTTTGCTTACCGTTTACCGGGGAAAAGACATTCAGGTAGAGGCAATCCTCGGATTGGTTCTCCAGAAATGGCAGCAGTCTCTTCAAGTACTCCAGCCGGCCCTTGGGCATCTTCTCCAGTGCTGCCGTCTCATTCTGTATATTGGGCAAACGCTGCGGACAGACGGGACTGTACTTATCCGAGATGCGAATGCCATCCCAGGGCGCCGGTGCACGCGTGGGACTGAATCTGTGCAACGGGCAATGATATTGCAATGGAAACTTAAATATAAATGCCTCTACGAACCGATTTTGTTTGGTGGGTGGCGTGGCATATGGCACTCCGAGGAATACCTCCACAGATCGCAGAAATCGAAAGCTATCCAAGGGGAGTATCAGGCCATGCAATCGTCCATATCGGGTCTGCACTATGCGATGCCCCAGCCGGGCATTCTTGTAGATGTCCGCTGTGGAGGACTCCACTGTGTGCAGACAGCCAATAAGTAGGCCCAGAAGTCGCAGGAGCCGCAGCAAAAGCAACAGCTGGCTTTCCCCCATTGTCCTGGCAGTGCTTTTGTTTTATTTTCGAGCCAATTAATTGATTGCTGTAATCCTCCCTCTACCCTATTTCGATGTGGCTCTGAATGGCAGGTTGTGCTTTCTGATCATTTACACTATCTATCGGTGTCCAGGGCTGCGATGAGGTCTCGAGCTACTAGCAGCACGGCTTTCATTTTGACCTGTAAATTAGGAGAGAGCGTGAGTTAAAGTAAGAGTTGTAGTTTTTTTTAAGCTTATGGGTTAACTAATAATATTTGTATTGTAATTCAACAAGGTAAGGGACGATCTATTGTAGATAGAAGGAACTATAAAAGAGGGCTGTGAGCACACAATACTCGTATGTCGAATGCCTCCTCTATTCATTGAACAATTTGCATGATTAGAAATATGTTTTGTTGGGAAAAAAGCAACTGAACAGAAATAAAATCTTAACAATGCACTTCAAAATACGAACAAATAATTACGAATATCTTTTATCAGCTGGAATAACATTTTGAATGAACCCAAATCAAAAATCCGTTGAAAGATCATACATTTATACTTCCAACCCATACGTTGAATACATTTCTGATATTTAGATGACGAGTAAAAATTATGTACACAAAGTCAGTTTTTTATTTATTTATTTTTATTTTTTTTACTAAGCATTTAAATTCGGAAGCAGTCCGTGCCACTTAATTTGCTGCTTGGGAAACACTTTAACAAACACTTCAGATACATTTTGTTTGTTTATTCCAATAACCTGCACTGTCGACTCGCGCAATAATACTCCGAAAAATGATCCTGAAATTGATATTCAAAAACAATTTCTGTTCCCATTTTAAGTACATGAAAAGTAGCCTACAAAAAATAGAAATTTTCTCATAAATTTGCCGCTTTTCAGACTCGCATACGGGGGGAACAACAAAAAAAAAGTTAAATTGCTGAGGAAAATTCTTTTTAGGGAAAAAACAGCGATGGAATGGGATATGGCCACAAGGTCGCAGCTCGAGCGGTTCTACTCATTTCAGTGTTTGCATTTGTGTCTGTAACTGCACTTGTGTATAATGCAGCTGTGTGGTGGTATGCGTGCCTGCCTCAAGGTTACTCTGGCAACTGTGTCAGTGTGCAATTTTCATCTGTATCTGCGGGTGCTTGCGGTTCTACTCTTCTTTTTTTTAAGCTTTTACATTGTACCTATTTTTATTTTTTTGCTTTTTTTTTTGCTTGGAATTACTCTGCTTATTTGTTTGTGTGTGCGTTTGTTGCACTGACAATTCAAGTACGCGCCACAGCGAGTGGCAGCAATGGCAGCAAAGTAGCTCATGCTCCTAAGGCTCTAAGGCTCTAAGGCTCTGAGCTCTGTGCTAAGCGGGTGAGTGGGATAATAATGAGGGAATGAACATCAAAGTAAGCTCAGTTACTTAATTCATACAGTACAGATTTCAACCTAGGATAGACACAAAACTAAGACACAAATACAACCAAAAAGAGGTACAGCTATGCGTGTGGTAGGCAGCTTTATCGATGTGCTTCGCCGGATCCGACTAAAACTAAACACGGCAAAGGCGCTTAACGATGCCACACTGAAGAACCGCAGCCCCAAAACGGAATTGCAGTGCCCCGAAACTCACATCATGGGAGAGACTGGAACTGTCACTCCACCACGTGAATGGCTGTGGACCAAACGCACCAAGATCGATGTGGAATTCGATAAGCTCTCCTCGTTGCCGGAACAGCAGCAGAATGCTCTCTTCTGGCAAAACCTCAAGCGAGTGCTGCTGATCTGCGGCGGACAGGAGAAGCCCGGGGAATTGGAGGATAAGTTCGTAATGGAGGCCAGCGGCAAGATAGTCGAAATAATGGAGGCCCATCGATTCGTTAAGGATGTCTTTGCAGCCATGGATGTGCCGTGGGATTCGGCCACGGACATGGCAGACTCTTTGATTGCCGCCGACTACATGGGCCACCGCAGCATGGGCATCCATCGGCTGCCTTCGATTGCTGCCGATTTGCTCAACTCCACGATAACGGCGAGTGCCATGCCGGAGATTATTAAGGAGAAGCCGTCCGTGGCTCTAGTGGATGGCTGCAATGCCCCCGGTCCGGTGGTGGGCAAATTCTGTATGGATCTGGCTCTGCGCAAGGCTCGCACGGTGGGCATTGGCTGGGTGGGCGCTCGGCATTCGAACTGCATTGGCATGGCCTCGTGGTATGCCTGGCGGGCCTTGGATCAGCGCATGATTGGTGTCTGCATGTCGAATGCGGCACCCACGCTGGTGCCCGCTGGCGGCATTGAGGCTGTCCTGGGCGAGAATCCCATCGCCTGTGCTGCCTCCGGGGCAAAGGAGCAATTCGTTGCGGACTTTGGCATGTCCGCTGTTTCGGTGGCGGATCTGGAGCTCTCCTACTGCAATGGCAATGCCAAGCAACTGCCGCCGCTGGCCGCATTGGACTCTGAGGGCAGAGAGACGACATTTACGGCCGAGGCACTGCGCTCCCAGCGACTGCGAGCCTTTCAGCCGGAGTACAAGGGATTTGGTTTGGCTGCCATGGTGGACATTATGTGTGGCGTCATGACCGGTGCCCGCTATGCCACACGACTGCAGCAGCGCGGTGTCTACAATGCGGACAATGCTCCCGCCAACTTGGGACAGGTGTTCATTGCCATCGATCCGATGCGTTTCTGTGCCTCGTTTGAGGATCGACTGATTGATTTCCATCGCCTGTTACGCTCAGCTACGCCCTGCCAGAAGGCTCTGCCACCCCTGGTGCCTGGCGACAAGGAATTTGCACACATGCAGGCAGTCGACGATCAGGGGGGTCTCTTCATGTCACCCTGCACCCTGGGTGTGCTCAAAGAATTGGCCGAGCAATTGATCATCGAACCGCTACAGATGAAGCCAGTGGAAAAACGCGCATAATTTTCTCCACACTTTAAAGATACTTTTGGGGCGAAAGTTTCAGCGTTTTGAAATGCATTTTCCCTTCACTAATTATGTAGCGTTAAAATATTCAAAAGTTCCACAAGAACGAACCCACGCAATAAAAAAATGAACAACATTTCTGCATAATTATTTGTGCTAATATATGGACTCCTCCTCCTCTGGTACACACTTTTTATTGTAGCACTGCGAGAGCCAACAGCTGTGCTAGCAACTAAAAATAGCAGCGAAAAAATAAAAGAAAAGTGCCAGCCATGGCCCTGCCAGGTGTAAGTGTGTGCGTGTCAGCAAAAGTATCTAAATCTAAATCGATATAAAAAGTAGGCAGCAGAAATAAAAGCGAAAGGCAGAGTGATAGAAGAATCATTGGCAGAATGATTAATTTGATTTGCTTTGGCAGGCCGTGGGGGCGTATGTGTAATAACGTGGAAACTTTTCTTATGACACACGCACACACACAGAGATAGAGAGCCCAAGGAGCCTTCGGATTCTGCGGTGTAGATAAATTATGGCCACATCTTATGATGTGCTGTGTCGTCAAGACGAAACACCTGTGTCCCATTGCGGTGGCACGTGACTGCGGCAGCCAGATGCCCGGGATTTGGCGTTTCTTCTGACATTCATAATCGCTTATTAGCTTTTGGCTACATTCCCAAAGTGAAAGTCTGAGATAAGCCAGGGATTTGATGAGTACACGGGCAAAAACAACAATAAACGTACGACTTTTGGCTACCTAAACTATACGCTTGGGTAATTTCTTTGAGTGTAGCTGCGACTTGTCGTATCGGATTTCATTCCATTCACTTTTTCGCTCATTTATCTTCATTGTACTTGATTTGTATTTGTGTTTGTGCAACAATTTGATGGATCTAAAGACAGTTCAGTGCTGAAATTCATTGATGATGCTAGCATATGCCTAGCGATGGTGAAATACCCCTTAATCTAGTCTTAGTTATCGAAAGTCAGGTGTTCAAAGAGCCAACCGATAGCGAAAATTGGCTTTTACAATTTATCCGATTTTGCCTTTATTTTAATGGAGAAATCATAGCTTTATCCATCAGATGCGCCCCAATGGGTTATTATTATTTCACTGCTGCTTTTGTTATTCCTTTTACCTTGTGGAAAAGTCACTGAATCTATGGCCTTTGGGGAGTCAGCTCCTGCGGGTCCTGCTGCTGGCTGTTTAATTTTATTTGTTTTGTAGCGCAGATCCTTTTGCTGTTCAGCTCGCGTATCCTTTGGCTTTTGTTTATTGTTGTTTCTGTTTCCTTTTCACACAGATACTGATACACTCACGCACACACACACATATACATTATGGATGTTGGGGGAAACCGTTTTGTTGCGCTCTTCTTTTGTTGAATTTTCACATATATTTTGGGGTAACAACAACTGATTTTCATTACGCTTTTCATTTTTATTTATAAGATGATTTGATTTGCACTTGTTCCGGGCTTTTCCGCTCCACTTTTGTTTGCTTTGTTTTCTTTGCGTTGAACTTTCAGCATTTTTTGGGTTTTTGGGGTTTCATTTATATTTAAAATAGCCACATGGCTGCGTTTGTTATTATTCTCATATGATTTGTTTGTGGTGCTGTCTACATGAATTTAACCTAGATTTTTCGTATCGTTTGAGGGGTGGCAGAGAGCGGTTGTTATTAATGTTTCAAAATTCATTCATTTCTTGTTTTTCCCCTTGCACAAATACGAACGCATCGATTTCTGATTTCTATTTGCATTTCAAGCATATTGCATTCCGGTGTTTTCCACCTGTGCGCCAAAAAAACTCTTAATGAAACCATAAAATTAAAAAATAGTACAAGAAAATAGAAACTGTGATTGGATTTTCTATGCACTGTTTGGCCTCGATTTTTGCTTTACTTTTTATTTCGGATTTTATGGCTTAAACAGGCGAAGTTTCTGCTTGTTCAATGTCGTTTTTCTTTATATTCTTTTTCGATGGGTAAACACGTGGGAGAGTGTAAATATTTAATTTATTTGATGAGAAACTCAATTGAATGTGAGCATATTGATGGGGTTTTCATTTAGTTAGAGCTATTAGTCATGCCATTAAAGGTGGATAAACGAAATCTGTTAAAACTGTGACAGAAATTTATGTGATATTGAAAGAGAGAACAGCTTTATTGCAATATAAAATAAAGGAACTGAAGAAATGTCAGATATCGGAGGTTAAAGAAAACTTAAAAAAAAGCATAAAATGTTAAGTAGGAAAATATTTTCCATTAAAAGACGCATGAAAATTACCCTGGAGACTCCTGAAGAGTAGTTAGGGAACTCTGTAAATTTAACTAGAATATAATGATGTTCATTCAAATTCCAATTCAAAGTCCAAATTCAATAATATGTAAATATCTTTAAGGTAACTTTACACCTTTGGAGATAATTGTAGAATTGAAAGCTTTTAAGAAAATTAAATTAGAATCGCCAAAAGCAAATATTTAATCCGATCTGACTGGACATTTCAATGTCCTGGTGCTTTCAAGTGGAATTGGAACTTTGTGTCGCCTGCTTTTAGGGGTTATGAGGGTTTAATTATTCCATCCACGGCGATTAAACTTACAAGAGTCTAATTGCATGCCAGGACATGCCATGCTAGGACACACCAGGACCCAACCCCCCCACAAACCTCCAAAAGCCATGCAATGGGGAGCGTCAATGACCGTTAAGTGGAGTGTGAGGGGAGGTACGACTCCTTCTATTTCGTTCCTTTTTTTAGGGGGAACTCTGCATGTATTTTTGGGCAACAAAATGAACGCATAAATACGTAAAAATAAATAAATAAAATTGGACAAGGCAAAAGACGGATAAAGTGAGGAAAAAAAGAGGAAAAAGGGAGGAAAATGTAAGAAAATAAAAAGGAGGAAGCAAAATGCCGCAAGGCAGCAGACAAAAGACGTTGGATGCTGCTGAACATTGACGGGAGGACACGAGGCGAGCGACGAGTAGGAGAGTGTGGATGATGACGCGGCCTTATAACGGATTCTTAAGTTATGGCACATACACAAATACACACACCCACACGCAGATACAGATAGATCGTATCTGTGTGTATTTTCTAGATAAAAACGAGGCAACTTATTGGCCTCCAAAACACTTTAGCAATTGCTCACATTTACTTCTTGTGTTGATTTCAGCTTCGATTGCCGCTCACACACACGCATACACGTAAGCGGATAATGGCACCCTCGCACACACACACACACACATACACAAAGACACACACACAAAGACACACACCGGATAGAGAACGGAAGAGAAACTGAAGCCAGAACTGTGGCCACGTGCACGGTGAAGTTTTTTTGTTCGTGTTTCGATGCGCCTGAACGCGTCGCTTGTGTCCTTAACGCCCGAATGTATTCCAACGACTGAAGATTGCCGTCGTTTTGCTGTCGAGGCTGTCGACGCTCATCGCTGTCGTACACGGACAGCCGACAATGTGGGTTAAGCTCCAAACCAAGAGCGAGCGCAACGCTGAGCGAGAGATAGAGAGAGAACGAATTTACTGCCTGGAAGTGGAACCTAAGCTCTGACGCTCTTTTGCTGTTTCGCTCTTTGAAATCTTCAATCAGCTGTTCCGCCTTTGGTTGTTCGTTTTTCTTGTTCTGCAACAAGCAAAAAAAAAGACATTAAGTCAATTTGGTGGCTCCACTTTTCGCTTTTTGCACGCCCCCGCACTCCACATTGTTCTCAGTAGATTTGTTGCTTTTTTCGTGCTTTGATTTTCGTTTTCTACGAATTTCGATGCCTTTGTTATTACGGATGGGAGGCAGGCAGTCAGGCAGTCACATGGCGGGGCGGGCAACAGCTCCACTCAGCTTTTATTGAGGCAGGTAATGGTCGTGTTGCACAGAGCGTCCAACGGGTTTCGCTTTGGCTGAAATATATGAGATGTTTATTGGATAAATTATACTTCACCTGTCCCTAGATTGATTCGAGTATTATTATGCGTTGAACCCTCTGTTATGTTGCTTTTTAAAGTTCTTAGAACTTGTCTTGCTACTTAAAAGTTACAAAGAAAAAAGTGTCTGCAAACAAGAAGAAAGAAAACATTGAAATATACTTTGTAGCGGGGTCCCTTCAACCCACACAAATCACACACATGTCGGCAGATATAGCTACAGCCACGGATACAATGCTAACAAGACAGAATCAGCCACAGCAGTGGAATCAGCAGCAGACAACAGACAACAGGAGTCCACAGCATCCAGCAGCTGCTTCTTTGTCATTGTCATATCCTATCCTGCCCCTTGAGCCAGCTTCCCGAGTGAAGCAACAATGACAACTTCAATGAATGGCGACAAATCAGTTGGCGGCTAAATGATGCTATGAGGCAAACGTGCGTGAGAATTGGCCGCCGTTTGAAAAATCTATAAAGAAGAAGGAGGATGGGTGGCAGAGCCGGAGTGCTGCCACAAGGAAAAACAATAATTGAAAGCCAAATAAAAAAGGAAGCAGAAAACACAAGTGGAAATAATTGCGTGGCATAAATCAAGCGGAGGGGGCGGCCACCCTACAACTTATGACAGTAATTTCATGATAAATGTCCGATAAATAAATGTGTAAATATAAGTCACAGCAGACACACTGAGGTTCGCAGGATGCACAGTGTAAGGATAATGAAGCAGCAGCTGCTGCGGCTCCTGTGACTGCTGCTGCGTTCCTGCTGAGACGTTGCTCTCACGCTGCGTATGCGTGATGTCTGTCTAATTGGATTAACGTGAGGGAGAGGTTAATGCACTGCATCTCGCTCTCTTGCTCTCTCTCTCTCTCTCTTTCTCCCCCTAGCTGGCATAAATATTCAAAAATAACAAAGAAACAATTTCCATATATATATTTTGCAAGCCACACACAAATCAAATTATTTTCTATTTAATTTTGGGATTTCTTGCTTCCCTTCCGTTGACAACAAACCAAAAGCCGTGAAGCTTAGTTCTCTCTCGGTTTTTGCTGATATGTTGAGCCATGCAGCCCCGCCATGGACATGTGCCATGATTATGTTCTATGCGGAACTCTCATTCCCGCTCTCTCCCTCTGTGTCCTTGCTACACATGTCCTGTGCGGATGGGAGGGCTGAGGTTTCTCTGTTAAATTTATTGGCTTATATAAGCAGAGCTTTTGGATTTTAATCGCGATTCTTTCCGCTTCGAATCCTTGACAGACATTCATTTTGCCGAAAAAAGATTAATTGTAAGAAATGTACAGACGCGCTCAAGGTTAAACAAATGTCGCATGGCATCAAAATATATTTAAGAGCGAAAGGAAACATTTAACATTAAGAAAACTGTCAGGGAAATTCGCTTTTATTATTTTCTCGCACAACTTCCAAAAATACATTTAAAATTCTGGCCACAAATCTCAGCCAAAGCAGACAGACGGCATTTTCGACAGCATGTCCAAGTAATTTATTTAACTCGAAAATTCCCTCAAAAAGAGCAGAAAACACAGACAGACAGACAGGCCAGGCCACGCTCTTGCGGCGTTAAACGGGTTTGTAACAAATTTAATTTTTAATTAATGCCATTAATAACAAACAGCAACAACTATACTCACCACTCACCACGGGGCTGGCAATAGAACTGTTTTAATGGTTTAAGAGAAAAGGGGTGGCAAAACTGGGTGGCGACATGCTGCGGCAACAACATTTTAAACGCGCAATTGAAGTTTGTCCGAAAATTGCCTCTGCCTTTGCCTATTGTCTGTCTGTCCGTCTGAAAGGATGCTCTGGTCTGTGGATGGTAAACGACCGCAAAGCAAAACTTTTTGGCAAATTTGCAACAAATTGGAAAATTTCTGGCGAAAAACCCTCAGACAATAGCCACTTAATGCGCGGCCGCGAGCCGATCTGCACTTTAATTGTTGATTATACAAATTGTTTGATGCCTCATGCCCCATGCTACATGCTCCATGGTCCATGCCCCATGGTGCGTTGCAGAACCATAAAATATTCAAGTTGAAGAGGCAGCCAGCCAGCCAGCCAGAGAGTGAGTAAGTGAGGATTGTGTGGAGGCGGGCATTGCCATCCGCATTGGCCACATAAAAGTGTAATTAAGTTCGCGTGTCGCACATTTAATTGTTTTTTAATGAATGAGGGAGCACAAAAATCAGTTTTCAGGAGCACAAAAATCAGTTTCCAGGAGCACAGCACAGCCAGCCCCGGAACAACAGCTGCATTTCATAGGCATCCGGAACAGAAACAGGACCCAAGTAGCATCAGCAGGACATCAGGATACCAGTGCACCAGTACATGGCACCCATTGCATTTTTCTGATTCTGTTTTTTTACTGTTCGTCGTGCGAACAATTGTCCAGAAAATGTAATTAATTAATTTCCCTTTTTGTTTTTTTTTGTTTGTTGGAAACTACACATAAAAAATAAGAGACATTTAAAAATACGAGTGCCATGCCATGAATCCATGGAACAGTTCTTGTTCAGATTTCAGTTTTAAATTAATTTGATTGCCATTAAAACATTAACG